CTGGCCAGGATTATCTCCACTGTATCTCATCCATCACAACAACGGCCACGCGCAAAGTAACAACAGCTGCTGAGGCTGATCACTGTGTTGAACGCACCGAAACCGAAGCCTTCTTCTGGAAGCCAAACGTCTGGGAGATCAAGCGTGTTACCACTACCGAACTATCGCTGCTCGTCGCGAAGGCTCTTGACCTGGACGACAAGAAGACGCCAAAATAACGAAGGCTGACGCTCGCTCTCCTGCCTTACCAAAATCGAGTGGTCAAGTCGGCCCACCACAATCACTATCCTGATCGAAGGTCAACTCTGGTCGAGATGGACGCAAGGTTCGCTGCCCACGCTTCAACCCTCAGTTGAACCAAGTCCACTCGCGTTCTTGGTGCCAGGCACAGCTTCCTCCTCACTCTGTGTCTCGCCAGATTCTTACGATCACCAACTTTTCCCAACCCGCCTTCTTTCCGCTCGATCCTACCGTCTCCGCCATCCAGCCCGGACCCCAATCTCTTATCCGCTGTTTGACAGATTCCGGCTTGTTCTGCGCGCACAATAGCACATATGCGACACCTCGATCCGAGTTCAATAGTTCCGGTAGCTGCTCCAACATTCTATCGGTTACCACCATGCCATCCTCGCCTCCGGCGTACGACAGCTCTAGAAGGTACGAGTCCTGTTCGAATGACGTCGCTGTCTTTCCTTCCGGCACAGTGTTGTACTTGTCGTGGCTCGTCAGATCGGGCAACTCAGCTGGGACATATGGTGGATTGAATATGAAGACATCGACAGAGTGCGGTCGGATAGCACTTGCTAAGTCGCCGTTCACGACATCGATGAAGACCGAGCGTCCATTCTCCCGCTCTCTGATGGCATCGCGGACTGTTTGAGAAGCAGCTTTGCAGGCGAAGCTGTTTATATCAACCCCGAGTGTCAGCACATCGTGGCGACTGAATATGATGCTTGCATTCGCAGCGACGAAGGCTAATACGACGCCTGATCCTACGCCCACTTCAAGCACCAATGGCGGGGTCGTTGAAGCATCGCCAAATCGCTCTTTCAGGTATGCGGTTTCCGACGCAGAAGAGAGCGTATCGAGTAACAGATATGAGTCTTCGGCTGGTTCGTACACGCGATCGAAACAGACGTGGGCTGTTGATGGTGTTGGCAGCATGGTTGCGATTTTGTTCGAGATCGGAGGTGTCGGTGTGGGCCAATTGGAGTGGAAGGAGCACCCTAGTCTAGAGTAGAGCCGAGGCTGAGGTCATCACTTCTTGAATGCATCACAGTTCCTCTGTCGCAATATTTCGAAGCTTCATCCGATTTTTGTGCCAGTATGAGAGCCTACACGCGGTTACTAGCTACAGCAACAGATGCAGGAGCATCTAGACCCTTTAGGCCAGCACCTGCTGCCTTGTTGCCGCCAATACCGCTTTACCGTCGCCTGCTACGCTCACATAGGAAAAGGCTGGGCGTGGAAGAGCGACTACTTGGTGACATGTACGTCAAGGCCGAGTTCAGAGCGCACAGGGACATCGACAACCCCGTGCAAATAGTGAGTTGCGATCAATTCAGGGTGGTGGCTATGCATCACAGTTGCTGACATGGACAGATCGGATTTTTATCGGAATGGCAAACATATTGTCAAATGCTCGAAGGAGATTCATGGAAGGAAGCCAAGATGGACAAAGCAAAGATTGACAAGATGAGCGGTAGGTTTACCAACATGTGTAAACGTTGCCTACTGACTGGATCATAGATCAACAAATTGGTCAGCTGTACGAGCTCATGCAACAAATCAAGAACCAGGCTCAGGAGGACGCCGATGCCGAAGAAAAGCGTGTGGTTGACTTGCTTGACAAGAAGGATCCCAAAGAATAGTGATCGCGCCACGCGTGAATCACAACCTGGAATCCAACAACGATCAAGGGGCAAACGTGGCAGACTTCACTCCCAACGATGAATGCGTAAACACGAAAAGCCTCCATACTTCACATCGCACTCCAGGATGTACTATATATATCAGCAATATCAGATCAGTCTCCAGTATCCTCTACGCCCACGTCTGTCGCTCCATGATCGCACTCCATCAAAGACTCTTCGCTTCACGATTTGAAGCCCTCTTCAGCCCATCGCAACTACCAACACCCCTTCTTGGCCTAATCGTATCCTGCTGAGTGGTGGACTATCGACACTCGACCTGTGTCGTCTGACTACCCGAGACCTACACCTTGTGCAACTTCTCTGTCCGTCCGACATGTGCGGCTGCACTCTATACGACTCGCCAACATGCGGTCATTCTTGGATCTCCATGAGCCAACCTTGCGGCTTTCTTTCTGATCTCCTCAATTGCCCCAACCGCCAAACCTATCAGACACTAATTGCACCGCCATACACCTGTCCTATTTGTAACGGCGGATTTGCAGATCGAGAGACGATTGAAATGGTTCAAGGACCTTGGGGTTGTAACCAAATGCTTCGAAACCACGTTGGTGGCAACTACGCGATCCCGGGTCAGTGGGGCAGCGCGCCGTTCATGTCTGGTGGGTGGGGAGGCCCAGCGATCACTTCTGGACCCATGTCTGGTGCTATGATTCCCATGAATCAGGGCTTTACCTATGACCACCGCCTCACTGGCCCTTATGGCCCTCAAAGCATGATGTCGCATGCTCCGATGATCACGAACGGACCGATGATGGGCGGCTCAGGGATGGTTATGCATGAACCGATGATGTACGACAACGGATTTGGTGCCTACGACGATGGCTATGCCAGCGACTACAATGGATACTGCGATGGCAGGCGAAAGAGAAGGAGGCACAAGAGCCATTACAAGTACAAGTATACAGACAAGCCCGCGACCAATTGTACAGTTATGTAGATTGTTGGGTTGTTAAAGTGTATGAGATATTGCAGTGGGGCTCTGTGTATATAGGATATTGCAGCTGTTTCATTACCTGGGCATGCATAACGTGGTAGCGGAGTTGAAGCACGTTCCTTAGATACTTCGCTGAACAGCCAGGTGAAGAGGCGATAGTGAAGCAACCACTGCCCTGGTAGCGAATCAGCGGCTCGGTAAATTTTAGGGCAAGAAGACCCTGCGTCAAGAAACGCCTAGCCAACGGCCAAAGGGGCCCAAGAGTGAGGCGGCGAGACTACAAGTTGACTCAAGTCAGTCTAAACTACATATCTAAGCTGAGTGTCGATCGCGTAAAGACGTTCAATCTGTTACAAGAAGGCGTGATCAGCCCCTTTGCCCTTGCTTTGTTCGAAGCGCTACCAGTCCGTCGGCTACGTCATTCGTCACGGGGCCCGGACTCCTTGTAACCAGACTTCCTAAAACATTACTGTACTTCTCCTGAGCCATCCACCATTCACAGCACATAGCAAGAACCAATCCAGACCACACATCTACAATGGCAACCAACGCGCCCACCTTGATCAACCTGCCGCCTCCACCGTCTGGCGACGAGACGCCTGGTGATGCTCCGTAAGGCATATGCGCTTGGTGGGGTTCATTGAAATAGTCGGACTGACGCTGTATACACAGAGGTACCCCGAACTCGGTCACCACGACCATGTCTGAGCTCTCGACTGTCGCCATCAAAGACGGACATCGCGGTCACTTCCCCCACCACCGGAACCCTGCTGAAGCTGAGCGTGCCGACCGCATCTCGCGCCTGGCCGGTCTCGAGCGCGTTGCAGTGTCGGGCCGCACTCCCCAAGGACTCAACCCAGGCAGCGCAGCCAATCCTCCGCCAGGCTACTTTGACGCAAACAACCAGCCGCAGCTCTTCCGTGAGCGCAGCACGGTTGGCAGTGCCAGCGCAACCGGATCCGTTGGCGGTCGCACGACGTGGGCAAGTGGCAGCGATGTCTACGAGCCGGACCGCATGAGCGAGGACCAGGACATGGACACATCAAGCATCGGAGGCTTCAGTGACGAAGCCGCCTCTCTTGTTGGCTTCGGCGAGGGTGCGCGCACACCAGCTCGGCAGCATAGTCAACTCGGCAGCCCTGCTGTTGGAAAGGCGAGCGCTCTGCCGGGCTACTTGCGAGAACAGACGCCGACCAGTCCAATGTCCGGCGTCAGCGTGCCTGTCAGTTCTGGTTCGACGCAGACCATGTCCAGCACGGAGCAACAGAAGAAGGAAGCACGCATGATGAACGGCATGACCTACGATGACAACGTCGTCGACACAGCGAGCCATGCGCCCCCCGCCAGTGGTCGTGATGGAGACTCTACTTCTGGAGACGCCATTCGCGAGCGCATGGCGCAGCGTCAAGCTGACAAAGATGCTGGCATGGACTATGAGCAGCAGAAGGACGCTTAGGGAAATGTTTCTTGTTTCACTCGAGTCATGCTTTGAGGCGGGCGTTGGGCAAAACCTGATAAATCACGGAAGGCTATTCCTTGACAATTGTTCAGGATGTTAGTATGGGCGGAAATCAACCAGCCCGAGGGCTGCGAACAAGAGTTTTTTTTATGAATGCAATGCTATTATGATTGACCACCGCTTAGAGTCTTGGACCCCTTGCGCGATTGGCGTGCTTCCCCGGTTTCTCTATACTTCAGTATGACGTCGCGCACGCGATTGAATGGCTTGGAGCGCCCGTCCGCCGCCGTCACTCGCGGACGCGTCTGTAACCCCGCAAGGCTGTGTCAGTCGATGCGCAATCTTGGGCGACACGGTTGATAGTAATGGTATGCAGCGAATCACACCCCGCATTTTGGCTGCAGCTTGCGGCCCAAGTGCCCTGGCCAGGCAGGAGACGATCTTCTGGGCTCTGCATCTGCAGGCAAGCCCTCCCCACCTCATTGCACTTCACATGCCGCAAACACCACTCAGCCCAACTTGAAGCTGTAAGACGCGCGACTGCTCGTCTTCTTGCGACAGGACCATTCAGATCATCTAGCCACCACGCGCATACAAGTACCTCCGCACCCGCGCGTTCCGACAAACACTTTGTGTGGAGCCCCGCATACCCCAAAACATAGCCGCCGTCACCATGGCAGACCACGACACCACGGAGGCTATTGACGTCAAGGACACGTCCCTCAACAGCTCCGTATCTTCCATCGGCCGCACACCTCCGACTGCGCTCAAATTGGGCTCCAGCCCCAGCCCGGCATCGTCCCACCGTTCGAGCTTCGCGGAGCACATGCGAGGAACGCCCACATCACCACGCGCGTCACGGCAGCCTTCGCTGACACAGCAAGCGCTACAAGACCTCCTCAACAACCCACCAACCAAGGGCGGTGATCCAAAGTTCCAGGGACGCGATTGGAAGACTGTCAGACTCGGAGAGATTGTCGATCCTGACCTGGTGAGGTTCGTCGAGTACGATACCAGCGTTGAGGATGCGACGAGCGTGGGTTATACACAGCTATCTTCATGCGCATGGGCTGATTTGCATAGATACTAGTCAAACATGGCGCCCCTAATGTCGTCCTCCTGCGCGAAGATGCGAACACACGGCATGCGACCGGGACCTTCGATTACAGCGACCTGAATGCGTACCTCCTCCTCGTAGTCGGCCTCGCGCACCCCGAAGAAGGTGACATCGCCTCGTTCGACGAGCTTGCACAGAAAGGAAGAGAAGGAAAGCCCATACCGCTCAAAGACGTAAAAGAAGTTGGTGGCAGGAAGGAGCCGCTGATTACTCTCGACGAGACAACGGATCTTTCCAAGGCCATAGAAGTCTTCGGAAGCGGTGTACATAGAGTGTTGGTCGCAGAAGAAGGCACATCGAACGTCAAGGGCATACTTACCCAGCTAAGACTGGTGCAATTCTTCTGGGAGAACCGATCGAGCTTCCCAGGCGTAAACCAGCTGTACCCACAGCTGATCAAAGACCTGAATCTTGGATCCAAGACCGTTCTAGCCATCAAGTAAGTAGAGCGCAGATTCGCAGAAATCACACGGCTGACTGGATGTTAGTGGAGATAAGCCTCTTGCGGCGGCTCTGGAGCTCATGAACAACGAAGGCGTGTCGTCGCTGCCAGTCTTGGACGCGCAAAACAACGTCATTGGCAACATATCCCATGTGGATGTTCGGGTAAGTCTCCTCTGGTCAGTTTCATATTACGCGACTAACGGCTGGCTCATAGCTCTTGACCAAATCCACATCGCTCCCACTGCTTCGCTCATCCTGCATTCACTTCATATCTGTCATCTTGTCCGAACGGGGAGTGAATGACGGCAAGGACTCCTTCCCCGTGTTCCACGTCAACCCATTCAGTACCCTCGCACACACTGTGGCCAAGCTAGTCGCAACCCGCTCGCATCGCATGTGGGTCGTGGATGCGCCGTCTCCGGCCTCATCAGGGCCATCGACTCCAGCGATAACACCTGCGATTGTTGTTCCTCCTTCGCCAATCACACCACTACCAGGGATGGCAGGCCCAACACCCGTCAATTCCACTGCGCCGACCCACCTTGCTAGTACTGGAGCGGTTGCCCCAGCTATCTCCGCATCAGCAATCTCTGCTATGCCAGGGGCAAGCTTATCTGGCAGACTAAGTGGCGTCATCAGTCTCACGGATATCCTGAATTTGTTCGCAAGAGCAAGCGGGCTGAATCCCCATGACCCCGACGAGGCGAGACGTGCTAGGCGCAGGTCTAGCTCCAGTAGCATGAGGCAGAGCATGGATAGCTCAAGGAGCGAAAGTGTGTCGGCTATCGCTGGAAGGAGGAGCAGCGTGAGTGAGAGGGAAAAGAATGCTCCCGCAGCTCAGGGATTGGGCATCTCCAGAGGACGAGGTGCGTGATGTTTTGTTGGAGAAAGAATTACGCTCTGGAGAAAATCACTACCGAGATATTTCGGACATAACTATTGGCTCTGTGATATTGATGGGCGTTACCAGCGAGTTGTCATTTCAGGTGGTCATAGAGTAAATATTGCCAGCTTTTCTTATGGCACACATTTCCCTCAATCGGGACCGTCATATGTTTATAGAAGTCGCATGCTTGGGCGCGCGAGAAACGAAATAAAAATAGTGTATCAAGGCAACTCAGCATGTCCCATTGTATCATCCAACTTTCCTGAACAAGAGACCGTCGTGTATGGCGGACGGGGGTAGAGGCCATTGAAGGGTTACGGTATCGACATCAGGCGAAGACTTGGTAGCGTCGGGTTTTGACTCTCCCTGAACACATTCAGGCGCTGGTGTTTCGTCATCCTTCTTCTTCGAAGTGCACTTGTCGTGTTCGGCTCGAGTCTATTCCACGGATTTTAGAATGTTTCCACGAAGTATGTAATCATTTTGAACCACACATACAAGGAAGTCGACCTGATCTCTTCTGCGAATAGCCTTCTCGCAGCGTCTGTGTATGTTTCTGTAGGGAGGCTGTATGACCATGGTTTGCTATGTTGTGCTATCGTTCCCGTGGAAATTAGATATAGATACAGTTGCGAGGAAGTAAGAAGACTATTGGTATTTGAAAGGAAATATGATACCAGGTCTTGTATTCGTGCATACTGATTGCCAATCTGGTGAAGTACATGGTGTTTGTGCTGTCGTGCTGCTGTCGGCTGTGCTCGTGCTGCTGGCTGGTGGACGTTTGGTATATGAAGGGGTTGAGAAACACGAATGACCTGTATCAGGAGAAGGTCTTGTCACTGCAGAATATAATCATGATGAGGGCATCTTCACATTGTCACATTGTTCTGGCATCGTGGATGGCGTTGTGTGAAGCGTGTTGGTCACTATTTTGGACGTGTGATGTTGAAGCAAGAGAGCGATCATATATTGACATAGGGATGTTCTCTCCATGCATTTGGAAGACCAACTCACGTAGTGGTGGAATATGATGTGAAGCAATGCGGCGTTGCCCGAGATGCCCGAGATGCACGCAAAGATGCTATCGCCCATTGGGGAAGGTGCTGCCAAGGCTCGCTTCTCTCACAGGTCGACCAATATTGCTCCCCACCGAGAATCCGTTTCTCACGAACTTTCGAACCGACAAAATTAACGGCAGTCTCTCTTTACAACCAGAACCGATTGACTACCTCAAGCACTAGCCATGCGTGAGTATCATCCTTCTGGTCGGCTCTTACGAAGATGCGCGAAGTTTCTGAGTGGCTAGGACACCCAATGGAGGGTGTTTCTTGACACTCAGAGAATTCAATCATCTTCAACAGCCAGGCTTTCCTAGAAATCGCCATGCGCTTACATCCTCAAAGCTCCCAAGTTCGATCCCTCCGAGGTGAAGGTCATTCACCTCCGTGCGACCGGTGGTGAAGTCGGTGCCTCATCCGCGCTCGCCCCCAAGATCGGTCCCCTCGGTCTCTCGCCTAAGAGTACGCCACGAACCCATCGACCAGCGCACATGGATGGAAATACTAACTCGTTCTGCAGAGGTCGGTGAAGATATCGCCAAGGCCACTGGTGACTGGAAGGGTCTCCGTGTCACCGTCAAGTTGACCATCCAAAACCGTCAAGCCGCCGTTTCCGTCGTTCCCTCCGCTTCCTCCCTCGTCATCAAGGCCCTCAAGGAGCCTCCCCGGGACCGCAAGAAGGAGAAGAACATCAAGCACACCAAGAGCGTTCCCCTTGATGAGATCATCAGCATTGCCCGCACCATGCGCTTCAAGTCCATGGCCAAGTCTCTGCAGGGTACCGTTCTTGAGATTCTCGGAACTGCCTTCAGCACTGGCTGCAAGGTTGACGGCCGTAGCCCCAAGGATGTCTCTGACGACATCAAGGCTGGCGAGATTGAGAGTATGTTATACTTGGCAATTCGCGAAAATCAATCACTAACAGAGCGCAGTTCCTGAGGAGTAAGCGTTTGCACCAAGAAGTGTTCACGATCACGATGGAACGATATATGCCATAGAGGGTGCTACATAGCTGAATGAGGACAACGTCTCCCACCCAGAGTTACCCGTCCCGGGACCGGTGGAGTTTGCACAGCCGCGGCGTTTGGGATGTTTGATACCATACTATAAAAAGTGACCCTGGCATACGGCAATGATACAATGCATCTTGTCGAATCAAAACGGTCCCATGCGTGTTGTGATAATCCTTTGACAGATCTTACACATATGCCATGTTCCTCCCTTTCTGACAGATACCCGGTGTTAATTTCTACACCTAGAGGGACATAGCGCGCACTGTAGTATATAAAGCTGTCAATGCAAGGCCGTAATGTGTCGCAGCCTGGAAGTTCGGAGTTCCGCACTACACTTCCGCGATTCCGCGTCACCAGTCGCTTCCTGACACCTGAACAACCCACATAATCGCTCGAACATGTCGGTCGAACGTCAACGCCAACCGTACAATGCGTCGGCGACGATCAGATGAGCTGCCGCGCTTCGTAGACGAAGCTAAATCTCCCTCGTTCCGCCTGCGACGCCGCCACGCGTACTACTTCCTCGGCTTCTTCCTTCTCTGCTGGATTCTCTATCCATCGCGCAAGACGACACCTCATACTGGAGATACTATCAGGGTCAATTGGTCGAATTATGCGTACAGCGTGTACGCGACCGACAGCACCCAGCTATGCCACGCCGTGATGGTCCTGGACGCGCTCGCTCGATTCGGTAGCAAGGCAGACCGCGTCCTCTTCTACCCGGAGTTTTGGGACACAAAAGTAGACAGCGCTCAGGACCGAGACAGTCAACTACTCAACTTAGCGCGCGACGTATACAAGGCAAAGCTTCATCCTATCAGGCTGCTTGAGGTAGCAGGCCGTACAGAAGGTATGCGTTGCGCAAGTGCCCATTCGCCCGGCACATGAAGCGAGACTCTACAAGCACATGGCTGACTGTTCTCAGGTGACTGGGTATGGGACAAGACCGTCACGAAGCTCATGGCCTTTGGTCTGGAGTACTACGACCGCGTAGTCGCTTTGGAGTCGCAGATCACGCTCCTCGACACTCTCGATGAACTCTTCCTCCTCCCTCAGACGCCGATAGCGATGGCACGGGCATACTGGACGGACAGCAAACCGTGGCCATTGTCGTCGACGCTAATGGTTGTCAAACCTAGCCTCGACGAGCTTGCGAAGTTCAAGAACCGCATGGAAGGGGGTGGTGATAGCATGTTGGTCGAAATGCACAGATATGACATGGAGATTCTCAACGAGCGCTTTGAGGAGAGCGCGCTAGTACTTCCACATCGACCTTACGCCCTTCGTACGGCAGAGTTCAGGCGCCACAATCATTCCGAGTATCTAGGCAGCGCTGATGAGACATGGGACGCTGAGAAGGTCTACAAGGAGGGGAAAATCATCCAGTTCAGCGACCTGCCGCTGCCTCCCCCATCAGTCATGTGGTCAGAACAGGCGTTAGAGGAGATGCAGCCCGATTGTGGGGGCAGCCCCGAGGGAACCTGCGCTGAGAGACGGATATGGAAGGGCTTATATGAGGATTTCAGAAAGAGGCGGAAGGACGTTTGCAAGTTGCTCAGTGTGGCAGCACCGGACTGGACTAAGATCAAAAGCGAGCTTCATCACGAGGTTGTGACTGGGTCTGGTAGTGTTGCGCCGGTAGGTGAGGCTGCGGCTGCGGCTGCGTCTGCGTCTGGTTCTGGTTCTACTCCTGCTCCTGGTGCACCTTCACATGAGAAATAGCTAGCCATCAATATCCGCAAACCTATGTACCTGCATGTTGTCTTACATTTGGCTCTCGCTTACGGCCCGATTGTAGTCTTCGCCAGCCCATGCCGAGGAAACTCTGAAACTGGTGAGCAAACGGTGCACAGTTATGCAATGATATGGCGGATAGGTATGGTAGCGTCATCTTGGAGGAGACGGTAGCAGTGCCGCCAGCCGTGGCTGTCGCATCAGGGCGCAAGCTGAAGCTTATTTGATTGCTGGAAATAAAAGCGTCATGATTGGTACACTGGAACAACCCATGACCACAGGCTTAGACAAGTGACCAACATTGTCTC